ACAATATATATTTTTGAAAGCATTCTTACTTTATAGCATTTTTTCATACCTGCCTAAAACTTTTGTACAGTATTGTATATGTTACTATTGTTGGTATTTTTTATGCCTATGGGGATAAATCTTTTATGTTTTACTTAACTGAGAAAGTTATAGTTAAAATGCATAATAGATTTATTTAAGATTAAAATTTATGGGTTATTTCTGGCACTCTTACTGCTTTTGCTGGGTAAGATTTTTTTATAATTTTACTATTATTAAGGGATGACAAATGGGAAGAAGAGGTTTTTTTTTTTTTTGTAATCCTAGATAAGGTCGTGAGCAATTGTAAATATACTTGTTTGGAGGGAAAGGGAAGTCACTTTTTATATCTTTTTCTTTCTTTTCTTTTTTGTTTGTATATATTTTCTAGGTTTGTATTTACCTTTTATCCATGTACAATTCTAATAAAAATATTATAAAAAACCACTGAATGGCTGTTTAGGACCAATATCTGAACCAGCTCATAAGAACTGGGAGGATCAGAAAAACAAGTCAACATTCTAGCATCACTTCTCACGGGCAGATGGCTCAGTGAGATTCATAAGCAGACATTAGGGCAAAGTTGCTTTTGAGGTTATGGAACATATTTTAGATCAATAGCAAAATATATTCCTCAAGGTGATCAGCCAACACTTTCAGAGGATTAAACAAAAGTCATAACTATTATTTTGAACATTTATTTAAATCTTGTCTTTTGCTGTGGAATAATTTCAAATTAAAAATTTCCATTTTAGTGTTAATAAATCAAGAATATTCATTAATAGAAATGAATTAAATCTGAAGCAATGTTGGTGACCCATAAGGAATATGAATCTTAGTCCAAGGATTTAGTCCAAGTACATTTGTTAACATACTTAGAAAAACGAATAGAAAGAACATCTGTGGAATGTATTATATACTAAGAAGTTCCACAGGTGGTGGCTTTAAAGGAATTTTTCCTAAGGTAAATTTTTTAGCTTCAAACTGCTTCAGTTCTTCTGCAGATAGCTCTGTCTTTGGGGTAAATAACTCTTCTGAAGTACTGCTGGTTGGGGTTATTGGGGATGTCAGTGCAACATTACTTGCAAGAGAATTTGCTGATTCTCCAAAGACCATATTTGCAGAATTCAAGTCAGAAGGAGCAACTGTTTTTCCAAATAGTGTAGCCGATGTGATGTCTGGTGAAGGATTTGCAGAAAAAGGTTTTTCAAATCCAGAAAATCCAGGTGTTCCAATTCCATCTGAAGTTGTAGCCATTTTAAACGAAAATGAAACTGGCAGATTACTAAAGCCAACTGTATGGGGAGCAGCCGAAGAAAACGTGGCACCTTGGACATTAGAAAGGCTGCCAAATATAGGTGTGCTTCCAGATGAGACAGTGGCAAGTTCAGAAGGAGATTTGAAAGAAAAGGCTTGAACATTATTCTGTTTATCCACAGGAAAGTCTGCAATTGTAGCATACAGAAAAAGTTGTAAGTACATTTGCAATATTAAGAAAAAGAAAATTGCAGTAAATGGGGAACTAGGATTATCAAAATGAAGCATGCAATAAAATGGATCAGCCAAAATTAATCTCTTACTTGACGTTCCAAAAGATGATGTCTGCTGTCCTCCAAACCCAAATGGAGGCGATTGGTGACTAGCCACCTTCTTCAATTCAGTTATCTTAAAAACAAATAAAAGTTCTACATCTCACATATTGTTTTATGGCCTCAGACTCAATATTTTGAAATGTACATGCATACTAAAATGAGATTATTTTTATTATCTAAATTTTTTCTACTTATGTTGTTGTAAATATTATTTCACATTTATTTTGCTTTAGCGGCAAGCTGCATTTTTTTTCCTGGACCCTATTCCAGAGAAACTTCACGTTTCTGTTACTGAAGAGCACGATGTCCCTTTATCCTCCAATTTGGCAATTACCATCTTTTAAAACCAAGAAGTAAGCCTGGGTTCTTTTATAAATTTGCTGGCAGGGAGGCAGGAGGCAAAGAAAGCAAAGCACTTTTTCTCAGAAACCGAGGCAAGGAAGCTGAATATGACCTCATTCTGAGAGAAGCATCTACCTGCCTGCTAAAGGCTGTAGGTGAGGTAATACTTCACATTTGAGAAATTGGAAATCTACTCCAGTTTCTAAACCTCCAGAGGGATATATGGAGGGAACATGATGTTCAAACTGTCATCTATTAACTTGGTAAACCTTTTGCTTAACCGCACAGGGAGGTCTATCTTATCTGACTTCTCCTTCGTAACAGACAAATCACGCCAGGCTCAACATGAAAACTCAGACAAGTATTTATCTGCCATGGATACAATCTGTACAGATTAGCAGCAGATAAACACTTGATAGACTCCATGGGGATCCTGATTATTTTCTTTATTTATTACATTTCTATGCCATTAGTTATTTCTCTATACAACCCCCCAAATGCCCTCAAATAAAACAAATGCTGAGAACACCACCTAAAATCTTGTCTACAGAAATTCATTTTAAATGTGTTTATAAAGCTGCTAACTATGTTAAGCCCCCTTATCTCAACTATAGCAGTTACAGAGTAAACGCAATCCTTCAATCACTGAGACAAACCAGTAGCAACTGCAGGTGGACTGTCTTCCCTCTATTAGTTCTTCAGCTGCCATCACCACTCTTCAACACAGACACACGTATATTATTAAGGTACTATCATTTGCCATAATATCAAAAATTATTAATGCTTTGAAAATCATTAGGAATGAAAATATGCAATATGACATATGACATTTTAAAAAATAAATACAACCAAGAACACTTTTGATTTTCCAGTTATTCTCACCAGTGCAGTTTTAGTAGAGGCTGTTATATTCTTCAGTTCACGCAATCGACTTCTCCACTGAGTAGCTAATTGCTGGACTGAACTGATCTGAAAAGAGGAAGTAAGACACTTCAATTACTGCTTCACATTTCAAATACCTTTCTGAAAAAAAGAATTACTCCAAACCACAGCCTTCTATACTAAATGATATAGACACTTACATAAGTTTGTATGTTATTGTTTGCTCTACAGTTATAATATTCAAGGCGCAACTCTTCTGGTAGAAAGTCGGGGAAACCTGTAAGAATAACATCAATCAAAGACCTGAAAGGGAAATATTTATTTTATCCCCATAATGCAAGCCTAGTAAATATACATATAGACCAGTTTGTGCTTAAGAAAGACTCATTGGCAATATAATTCATTAGGCAAATAAGGAAAACTATTACATTCATTTTGTCTCTTAAGCCCCTGCAAAACCTGAGTCAAAAATTCTGCCCCATCTTCCAGTGACTGTCCCATATTGCCAACCACACCTCCTGCTGTCCTCTGAAGTTTTTTTTCCCCCCCCTCTAAAAAGTGTGTAGGCCCTCGTCAATCAATTGCACACTCTAGATCTAATTGAGATGCCTACCTGAGATGTGAGATCTGGGTATCACACATATGCATGTCTCCTAAATCTGTCCTCATATTAGAATAAAGGTGCCTGGTCCAAATTATTTTGGCCTAAGTTTTAAATACTGTATATCTTATAGTGACAGATCTCTATATTCACCAGGCAATAGTAGTTTAAAGGAAAATAAATGATTGAGCTCATATGCTTTCCATGTTCTCCTGTTAATAGCTCTCAAGTTGTCTAGCCTGCCCCTCCAATGGAGCTCACAGTGTGAGTGTAAGAGTCTGGCCACACACTGAAGGGGGTGTGTGAGCATATGTGAGAGAGACAGACAAATACTGTACAGGCATAAAGGTATTTGCAGAGGAGAATCAGGAGATGGGAGAAGGGCATAAATGCATTCACCCACCAGATTTAAAGTATTCTCTAACTCTTAGTCCCAGATTTACTATGGAAGAAAAAAGGGCTTGCTAATTCTCTGTTACTCATATGAAATGTATAATCAACCCTCATAGGTACACTTATAGCTCCTTCTTAGGTTTAATATAAAAATCACTACAGTTAAGTCTCAAAAGGACACTGAAAAATGACTTAAACTGCATAAAGCATTTAAGTGTAAATGCCCACTTGAGCCATACTGCCTTAGTTACACAGAGATATGCAATGTCTCATCCAATGAGACCTGACAACAGAGTAATTTGTACCTGAAATATTAGGTTTTTCTTTCATAGGTGAATAGGTGGAAAACATCCATTGTCCTGAAGATTCCCAAATCTCCATGTCTTTCATTATTATTTCACTGAATAAATGATAATGGAAAGTGATAAAACTAAACTGATGAGAAATCAAAGCCAAGCTAATCTTAAGGTTTCACTGTTTTTAAACATGGAGACAAATCAAAGACTTACTGAGCATAATAAGCCTAGTTAATTTTATGAAAGGCTTAACTACAATCCTTTTTTCTTTCCCAAATGCAAGAAACAGGATCTGATCTAAAATTGGTCAGTCTGGCAGACAGTGTAAGCTGTGATGGAAGTGCTGCTCTGCTATCAAGAAACCCTGCCAGTGGGATTTGGTAGGGTCTCCTACCACCATGGGCCTCCAGGTGTACCTACAAAATGGTCTACAGGCCAATTTGCATATTCTGTATGCAATTATAATACTCAGTTCAATAGACTGTATAAACAACCATGGCAAAGGATCACAGACACAGAGTTTAGGACTGTTGTTTTTAACTGCACCCTTAAATCTAATAGTAATAAAGGAATAGAAAAATGCCACTTACAGAAGCTTTTCTTCTTCATTTTTAATATCATTATTCACATTTTCACTCGAATCTAATGCAGCAAACCTATTCTGAGAAAAATTCAAGAATCTGGGATCTTTGTTACTTTGCCAGTTAGAAGATTTTGAAAAACTGGATGTCTGTAAACTACTGGAATGCTGGCGCTGCCCACTCCATGCTCCTCTTCTGCTAGAGCCTTTGGGTGAAAAGAACAAGGTGTGTCAAACATTTATCTTCTTTGGAGCAAAAGTAATTTAACCTATACCACAGAATTAAATAACAGAGATGGGCTTGGAAAGACTATTTGGCAGGATACAAATCCAACACGTATAGAAAACACAATCATTCTAACATGGACTGATTCTCTAGAAGCAGTCCTAAGCTTTGTTAGTTGTGACCAGGTCCCACTGAAATTACTAAGATTTGCTTCTAATAAACATGTGTGCAATCATTTTGTACTATTTTCTTAAATGTTAGATGTCACTGACTGAAATAATTCATAAGATAATGCTCTAAGACAGCTTTACCATTCATCTGAAAAGAGAGGAAACATTATTCAATAATAAAGCATCCTTGAGACCTGCAATGAAGGCTAACAAGCAATATAATCAAACAGAAGAAGATAGCAAAAAAGAAAAGAATCAAAACTCAGCAGTGGAAACATGCTTTGCATGGCCCCAGTTTCAAGTCCTGGATCTATGGTTAAATGGGTACGATAGCAAGTGATGGAGGAAAACCTCAACAAAAGCTGGCTGAAAGGAGCTACATTTCTAAGATTTAGACTGTCAGTATTATGATTATTATTCTTCAGTCTCTAAGTCTGCAATCCTATGGATATCTGGAATTCAGTGGAACCTAAAGCATAATCTGTTTAAACTCAGGATGATGGTTTAATCCCACAACTGTGTATGTGCAAAATGTGCTTTTCTTCTAAAAAAAATAATAAAACCAGAAAACTAAACATTATACATTACGTGAAACCATTACAAGCTTTTGTACTTTCTTGTGTCATGCTTAATTACTCCATATTGTAAATTAAGATATTTACACATATTTCCATCCCTTCAAAGCACTTCAACTGTGATCCTCTTTATCCCTGCTGACTTTGAAATACTGAGAATTTGCAGAGATCACAATGAGCCAGTGTTCCAACCAGCTGACCAATAGAAGCGTGTATAAACTGACATTTACACTAAATGGAAACAAAACAAACAGCTAGCCTTTCAGTTCAGTCGTGCGTATTCTCTCTGTGAGTATCTTTAACAGCCCATCAAACTCTGATGATAAAAAGATAGCATTTCAGCATTTTTGGAATCAGGTGCTTTTCTCAATAGTTGTAACCATGGTTACACATTGCTGTAGCAGCTGAAGAGGGAGAGACCTTTTAAATGAATGGGATGCTGGGGGGGGGATGGGCGGTGTGGACTCAGTTGTACTTAAAACAGATCCCACTGAAATCAACCAAACACTTATATGTTTATTTCATGAGAAGGATAACAACTTCAAACACAATGGCTGAATAACAACTATTCCAGAACCAGATTACTTTCTGCACTGTCCATTAATATTGCTTCTGTAACAAACCTTGTTTTAATCTTGGTATTTACTAGATTTCAGCATTATTGTTTTTTGAAGTCTGTTTTGATTCTCTTAACTGCTTTTGGATTCTCTGGCAATCAATTCTCAATTTTATTTTGAGCGGTATCAAAATAAAATCAACCATCCTAATAAAAAATATGGCCAAGTTTGGTTTCAACCTATTATTGTAAAAGAGGCTGGGGATCAAGGGGAAAATACAAGCAAACAAGACAGAGACCAACAGAAGAGAATTGTGATGGAATGGACTTATGAAGGCCATGCTCAGGGAGATAAGCGTGTTCTTAGCCCCCAACAGCATGGGAAGTTCAAGAAAATGAGGCTGGCACCCCCCTAAGGAATTCACGGTGTTGTGGCTGGCTGGCTTGGGAACTAGGGTTCAGTCTGGGGAGATTTTCTGTCTGGAGGTTGTAGCTAATAAACGCAACAGAACTGTATTTGCATTGTCATGAAGGCCATGCTCAGGGAGATAAGCGTGTTCTTAGCCCCCAACAGCATGGGAAGTTCAAGAAAATGAGGCTGGCACCCCCCTAAGGAATTCACGGTGTTGTGGCTGGCTGGCTTGGGAACTAGGGTTCAGTCTGGGGAGATTTTCTGTCTGGAGGTTGTAGCTAATAAATGCAACAGAACTGTATTTGCATTGTCTCTTGGAGTTCTTTGGGCTGAACCTGACATCAATATCACCAGACTGAACCCTAGTTCCCAAGCCAGCCA